GCCCGGGGATTCTCTGGCAGCAGCCCAGGGCTCTGGGTGGCTCCTTGGTGTACTCATGAAGTCGCTGCGCTGTGTGGGACCTGGACCCTGGCCTTTGGGGACTCGGCGTGACCAGCGTGGGACAGCTGCGCTGGCGCTGCTGGAACAGGCACGGGCAGACGCTGTCGCTGGCAGCTGGGTTGCAGTGGGGCAGGCCGTGGGGATTGCGAGGTTGGGTGTGCTGCAGAAATTCCCCCTGTTAATACAGCGGGGAGCCGGCTGAGCCCCTGATGTTGTCTTCAGTCAGAGGAAGGGTTTGGGTCTCACCAAAGCCCTGCAGAAATGGGCGGGTGGAGGAAGTTGCTTTCTGGGCTCTGACCCTGTCCCTTTCTCCCTTCTTCCAGTGGCTCAGAAGGTGGTGGCTCTGCGGAAGAAACAGCAGCTTTCCATCGGCCCCTGCAAGTCCTTGCCCAACTCACCCAGCCATTCGTCTGTCTCCGCGGCCTCCATTCCTTCCGTTCACATCAACCAGGTGGGAACCGAGAACAGGGGAAGCCAGGAACGCTGCACGCTTCTCCACACGCCCTCACTTTGCTTGACACATGGCATGCTTAGCCTAGGCTTAGGCTTGCCCTGCAGCCCTGGAGTGGCTTTTGGGAAGAGCAGAGCAGTTGTTGCCCCAGCACTTCTGTCCATAGCCCAGAACAGCTTGGTGCTGGCCCCGAGGTCAGGCCGTGTGTCTAAACCGTTGGGTCTGGCTCGTGGTCTCCAGTGGTCGTGATGTGTTTCTGCAGGCACGCACGGCAGCGATGAGCGGCCAGAGGGCAGCTCCTGCCAAGCAGGAGGAGGTCCCTGAGAGGGGCTTTGGTCCGGCTGCCTGGGCCGGGCTGGGGGGGCACAGCCACCCACCGTCCCACTGCCCCTGGGAGCGGGAGCCGGAGGTCTTCCACCACACATACCCAGTGGGCTTCTTAGGGGAGGGGCGAATTCAGCGGTGAGTTGAGGGGGCAGCACAGAGAAGGAGACTCTCCCCACTGCTGGAGGGAGGGCTCTGTGCTGTTCTCCTGGCACAGCGTTAGCCTGGCAGGCACTGCCCCGGTCTCTGTGCCAGCAG